ACAGAGCAGCCTAGGACCAAGGCCTAGTTTGGCAGTATCCACCGGGGGTGGCCAAGTTCGGGGACCGGCCCGGGCCAGCGCCGCTTACCGAGCCCCGGGATCCTCCTCCTCTACCCGCGCCGCTCCCGGGCCCGCTCGCTCCCGACGCCACCGCCACCGACGCCGCTGCTGGGGGCTCGCGGGCGCGTTCCCGCCCTCCTCGGAACCCGGCTTCTCCGTGCCCCACCGGGTCCTAAAGCCCGCCCATGTATGGCACCTCGTTCACGCCCGCTTCCCGAGAACTAGCCCAGACTACAATTCCCAGGAAGCACCGCAAAGACTACAGCTCTCGAAAGGTATCGCGAGAAGAAAAGTGGCAAAAGACCCATCCATTGAGGGCCTACTGGATGCAAGTGGCATTTTTATGTATAGCAGACTTTTAGATTCTGCAGTTATGCTGCTAGGAAAGAACATATCCTCTATAGACATTGGCGAAACTTGCCAAGATATACTTTCAAAAGCATGTATTACAATATTGTACGAGTGAAACACGGGAAACAAATGCATTCACTCAACAAATATTTATTGTGTACCTACTACGTGCAAAGCGCCTTACGTTAACCTGGAAAAATACCTAACTTTTCTGAGTCTTCGTTTTCTGCATATGCAAACTGGAAGGTTGGATAAAATGTGCTGAGTACTATGTCAAAGTTGTCAGGTGCCACTGCATCAATCTGACTCATAGGATAGAACAGAACACCGCCCAGCCCTGCGCCACCCTCTCAACTGTTGTTGTTTGAGCCACTGGGTCAGCCCAACATTCAGGGAGAGTTTCTCTCCCTTTTGCTGACCTTCAAGTCAGTAGGTCAAAAAGATGATGCCTTTTTCTAGGGGCTGATCTCCCTTAATAACATGTCTAAAGTATGTGACCTTTCCACATCCTCTCTTCTAAGGAGCATACTTTCAGTACTTTTGTTAGGGACCTGGACCAATTACCCTTTTAATGAAAGGAGATCAAACACAAGGCTGCAATTACAGAAGAGGTCTTATTATGCTAGCTTAAGCCAGGGCTCAAGTCCTCAGGTGCTTAACTGCGTGCACCATCTTGGACAAGAGCCCCCACAAAAGAAATTCCAAAGTATTTATTTACAGGTATACGTAAAGGGGCGTT